GTGAGTGAGGTGTAAGAGGGAGGCAGCTTAGACTGACCAGGGTCTGAGATCTGACTCAAGTGGCAGCTTTCTCCACAGCATTTGGAGAATCTCGGCCTGAACTGGGCTCTGAGGGCCTGGGGTCATCTACCCAAGGATCCCAGCCTGACCCCCGGCGCATAGTGGAGCTGCCTGCGCCCGCCGACTTCCTCAGTCTGAGCAGTGAGACCAAGCCCAAGCTGATGACGCCTGACGCCTTCATGACACCTAGCACCTCCCTGCAGCAGGTGTGCTGGGGGAGCGGTGTGGGGCTCAGGGCAGGGCGACCAAGGAATCCCCCACCTGTGGGCCATGGCCTCAGTCCCCTGCCTCTCCCCAGATCGCTGTGTCCCCCAGCAGCAGCTCCAGCTCCAGCTCCAGCTCCAGCTCCAGCTCCTCCTCTCTTACAGCTGTGTCTGCCATGAGCAGTACATCAGCTGCGGACCCCTCCTTGCCCAGGTGAAGCGAGGGTCAGAGTTGGGGGAGGGCAGGGGCTGGTGCCAGGTTCTGGCTGCTATACCTCAGCCTTCCTGCCACCAGGCCACCTGAGGAGCTGACCTTGAGCCCCAAGTTGCAGCTGGACGGCAGTCTGACCCTGAGCAGCAGCAGCAGCCTGCAGGCGAGCCCACGCAGCCTCTTGCCCAGCCTGCTCCCAGGTCCGGCTGACAAACTGACTCCCAAAGCACCTGGGCAGGTGTGTGTGTGGGTGTGTATGAAGTGCAGGGTGGCAGGTATGTGGTAGCAGGAAGCTTGGGGGCCCTTTCCTCCCACAGTGCCTGAGGGCTTTCCCTGAGATCATCCCAGCCTCCCCTGGTCCCTGGAGGGCAGCTTCTCAGCCTGTGTCCATCCCCACCTCCTCTCCTCCTGGGTTGTGGGATTTTTGACGTGCATCTCCCTTCTCCACCGTCCCATCCCTGCAGACGGCAGGCCTCATCTGTGCTCCCGCTTCCCCACGTCCCACTGTCTAAGTCCCATCTTTGCTCCACCTCAGGTGCCTGCTGCTGCTTCTGCACTGTCTCTGGAGCTGCAAGAAGTGGAACCCCTGGGGCTACCCCAGGCTTCTCCCAGCCGCACCCGCTCCCCTGATGTTATTTCCTCAGCTTCCACTGCCCTGTCCCAGGACATCCCTGAGATCGCATCCGAGGCCCTGTCCCGTGGTTTTGTCTCTTCTGCTCCTGAGGGTCTTGAACCAGACAGTATGGCCTCAGCTGCCTCAGCACTCCATCTGCTGTCCCCACGGCCCCGGCCAGGGCCCGAGCTTGGCTCCCAGCTTGGCCTGGATGGAGGCCCTGGGGATGGGGATCGGCACAGTACCCCTTCCCTTTTGGAAGCAGCATTGACCCAGGAGGCCACAGCCCCTGACAATCAGGTCTGGCCTACAGCACCAGACATAACTCGTGAGACCTGCAGCAGCCTGGCAGAGAGGTGAGGAACCTGGGAGGGGAGTGGGCGCTGGTGGGAGGTGTTTCAGATAGCATCATCCGCTGTTGAGTTGGCCTGTTCTTCAGTCCCAGGAACGGCCTCCAGGAGAAGCACAAGAGCCTGGCCTTCCACCGACCACCTTATCACCTGCTGCAGCAACATGACAGCCAGGACGCCAGTGCTGAGCAAAGGTAGGTGCCACCCTACGCTGTTCCTCTCGTGAGGGAGGGCTGGTAAGTGGGTCGGTGCTGATTTTTCTCCCTCCCCTTTCTCCAGTGACCATGATGATGAGGTTGCTAGCCTTGCCTCTGCTGCAGGGGGCTTTGGCACCAAAGTTCCCACTCCACGGCTACCGGCCAAGGACTGGAAGACCAAGGGTTCTCCTCGAGCCTCACCTAAGCTTAAGAGAAAGGGCAAGAAAGATGACGGGTACGGGGTGGGGTCCTGTGGCCAGGGAGAGGGGTGGTTCTCCGGCTGCCCTGCCTGACGCAGCCTGAGGTGCTTCTTGTCCATGGCAGGGATTCAGCTGTGGGATCCCGGCTCATGGAGCACCAGGTCAGTGAAGTAACAGCCTTTCTATTTCTGGGACGACTCCTGTGAGGATGGGGAAGAGCTCTGGGCCGTTCCCTGGTCTGGTGTGTGGGAATGTGTGGGTCAGGCATCATCTGACTCGGTGCTCTTGGCAGGTGGCAGACCCTCCTGAGGACTGGCCAGCACTAATTTGGCAACAGCAGAGAGAGTTGGCGGAGCTGCGACACAGCCAAGAAGAGTTGCTGCAGCGTCTTTGCACCCAGCTGGAAGGCCTGCAGAGCGCTGTCACGGGCCACGTAGAACGCGCCCTGGAGTCGAGGCATGAGCAGGAGCGTATCCTTATGGGTCATGGCTCGGTGTGGCATAGGGGTGGGGACAGCAGCAGCATTCTTGGCCCAGGAATGGATGCAGGACCTGCCCCAGGCCTGTTCCTTAGCTGCAGTGCAGAGCGGCGGCTGGAGCGGGCGTTGGCCGAGGGGCAGCAGCGGGGTGGGCAGCTGCAGGAGCAGCTGACACAGCAGCTGTCCCAGGCGCTGTCTTCGGCCGTAGCTGGGCGGCTGGAGCGCAGCATACGGGATGAGATCAAGAAGACAGTGCCCCCGTGTGAGTTTGGCATGGAGACTTCTGGGTGGGCCAGGTGGGAGTGGGGCTTCCTGTCTGTCAGGCTGCCTTTCGTGGCTCCACCTGTTCTTCTTCATCCTGCCCCAGGTGTCTCCAGGAGTCTGGAGCCAGTGGCAGGCCAGCTGAGCAACTCAGTGGCCACCAAGCTCACTGCCGTGGAGGGTAGCATGAAAGAGAATATCTCCAAGCTGCTGAAGTCCAAGGTGCTGTAGGGCCCAAGATGAGGGAGGCTGGTGGTTGGTGGGCCTGGTCGTGTCAGCTTGGGCTTAGCCTTTCAACTCAGCTCTCCCTCTATCCCCAGAACTTGACAGATGCCATTGCCCGAGCAGCTGCAGACACATTACAGGGGCCAATGCAGGCTGCCTACCGTGAAGCCTTTCAGAGTGTGGTGCTGCCGGCGTTTGAGAAGAGCTGCCAGGCCATGTTCCAGCAGATCAATGATAGCTTCCGACTGGGCACGCAAGAGTGTGAGTGGGGTCATATGCCTCAAGGTGGGAGGGGCTGTCCCTCTCTCCCCAGCCAGCCCTCATGCTCCTGTGGTCACCTCTCAGACTTGCAGCAGCTGGAGAGCCACATGAAGAGCCGGAAGGCACGAGAACAGGAGGCACGGGAGCCTGTGTTGGCCCAGCTGCGGGGCCTGGTCAGCACACTGCAGGGTGCCACCGAGCAGATGGCGGCCACCGTGTCTAGCAGCGTTCGGGCTGAGGTGCAGCACCAGCTGCACGTGGCCGTGGGCAGGTGTGTGGGCGGGGTATTGGGCAAGGTGCTGGGTTTGAAAAGCGCCAGACCAGACTTCCTGTCTGTCTCATCTCCCTCACTTCCCTTTGCAGCCTACAGGAGTCCATTTTAGCACAGGTACAGCGCATTGTTAAGGGTGAGGTGAGTGTAGCACTCAAGGAGCAACAGGCTGCCGTCACGTCTAGCATCATGCAGGCCATGCGTTCAGCTGCTGGCACACCCGTCCCTGCCGCCCACCTCGATTGCCAGGCCCAGCAAGCCCATATCCTGCAGCTGCTGCAGCAGGGCCACCTCAATCAGGCCTTCCAGCAGGTATGCCTCCCAGTGGGTCGAGGTAAGGGTCAGGTGTCTTCTGACAGGGCGCACACACCATACTCTACCCGCCAGGCTCTGGGTGCTCCAGCCTCAGCACACTGTTCTTGGTTGCCTTTTTGGCTTCAGACCATTTCCCCTACTTTCCCCTCTGCCTGGACCCTTTCTTTCTACCTAACGCCTGCCTTGCTTCATGACCACCCTTCTCAGGAAACCTTTCCTGGTCCCCCAGAGTAACAACACAGCTCTCTATGACTGTCTCTGGGCCCCTGAGCACACCCCCCCCCCCCGGAGCCCTCAGTACCCTACTCTGGTCATCCACGGCCAGCCAAGCAGGTATTCCCTTCTGACCTTGGCTGTAAACACTGTTCTCTTCCTAGGCCCTGACAGCTGCTGACCTGAACCTGGTGCTGTATGTGTGTGAAACTGTGGACCCAGGGCAGGTTTTTGGGCAGCCACCCTGCCCACTCTCCCAGCCTGTGCTCCTTTCCCTCATCCAGCAGCTGGCCTCTGACCTTGGTACTCGAACTGATCTCAAGCTCAGGTGAGTGGACTCAGGGATCAGGAGGCAGGTTGGGGTGGAGGTGGAGAAGCAGTTCAAACAGAGACTCTTGCCTGACTCTGCTTCCTAATTTTTCTCCCCCTGTCCCTTCTGTGCCCACCCATCTCTGGCTTTGAGGCCCCCCCTTTGTCAGCAGTCCCTCTGGGCCTCGGTGCCACCAGGGGGCGCTCGCATCTGCTGGAGCCCACCTGTTTCTTGTCTTTCTTCCACCACAGCTACCTGGAAGAGGCTGTGATGCACCTGGACCACAGTGACCCCATTACTCGGGACCACATGGGCTCCGTCATGGCCCAGGTGCGCCAGAAGCTCTTCCAGTTCCTTCAGGCTGAGCCACACAACTCACTTGGTAAAGTGGCCCGGCGTCTCAGCCTCATGCTGCACGGCCTTGTAACCCCTAGCCTCCCTTAGCTAAGCCTGCCTTGCTCAGAGTTGGGGAGGCACTGAAGGCCAGCAGACAGGCCTAGGCCAAAGCAGGGTCATGTCTACCCTTTTACCTGCTCAGGCTCCCACCTTGGGGGTGTTTGAGGGGAGAGCACTGGCTGTGGTCTACAGGTTGTGGTAGCCAGCGGGTTTAGGCTGGGCCCAGGGTGGGTACTGTGCCTTCTTGGGTTCTGCCGTGCCTGGAGCATGACCCTCGAGATCGTGACACCACTTGAGTTGCATTTTCCATGTTCCTTTTTACCTCCGATTTGGATCTTTTTGTTTTTGAAAAATATTGAGAAATTCAATTAAATGCTTTTGGAATAAAATGGAGTATGTGTGTGCTTTTGGTATAACTTTGATAGGGGCCTCTGTTCTCTCCCCTCTCTCTTCCCTGTGTTGGAGCTCTGTCTAGACTAAGCCCGGTGCCAGGATACCCACTCTCATCTACATAGCTGCCCTCCCAGATCCCCTCTCCATTTCTGAGACAAGGGCCCTGAGGTCAGCCCTGCAATTTCCTTGTCGCCAGCTCTTCTCTCTGGGGTCCCTCCCCTCCTTTGCCCATCTGAGTACTAGGGCGGGGCTGCCCAGCTGACTTTGGGCCCCGCCCCCAGCTCCCATCCAATCACAGTCCCTTCTTTCGGGGGCTGGGCCGAAGGGCTCTGCTTCCAAGCTGCTAGCTCCAGCACTAGGCTCCCAGCCGCGGATGATGCGGGGATGATGCACGGCTACTGCTCCTGTCACCACCGCCAGCGACTGCCCCGAGCTTCCGGTGTGCTGGGGCTGTTGCGGCTGTTGCTACCGCTCGGTGAGTGCGGGAGTGCTGGATCGGGCTTAGCGCTGTGTGGCACACCCTCTCCCCAGTCTAGGTATAGGGCCTGTGAGAGCTGAGGCCCAGCCTTCCTGGGCCCTGGGAACCAGGCTGGAATGGAGGTGCGACGGCTTCAGGGAGGGGTAATACGTGCCAGTGGCTTCAGGATGCAAAATGGGCATGACCTGACATCTAGTCATGGGGAAAGGACCCCAAAGTTCCACATCGCCCATTCCAGTAAAGGGAGACCTAGGCTCTCGTGGGACCCCTAGTCCAGCCGTGGGGCCCCTGAGGCCCTCTCTTAGGGTCTGATCTGGATCCCGACCCTGCCTCTCCTGCTGTCCCTGGCAGAGAACACCTGTTTGGGTATGGGGGTGGGATGGTCAAGTGAAGTTTGTCCAGCCTGCAGGACAGTTAAGGGAGCCTGTAGCCCTCATCTCCATGTTCTGACTCTTTCACTTGGACCATCCTCACCTCACCTGTGACCCTAGAAGTTCAGAGGAAGAGTCAACCCCTTGGGACAGGACACCTTACCCCCTCTCCACATACCCTGTACGGATTGTGCCTAGGGGGGAGCCAATGCAGGTGGATCCCCAGATGTGCCCGTTGGTTCCCTTGGGTGCCTCTGTTTGACGCTGAGTCACGTCCCCCAAGCACACGCAGGTAAACAAGCCCCTGGGGGCTTGACGGTGAAGGGGGGCGGGGCTGCTCATCCTATCAACCACTCTCCACCCCCACCCCTAGTCCTTGTATCTCCCCTGGCAGCAGCTGCAACGGGCCCAGGGGGCTGTGACACCATATACCAGGGGTTTGCTGAGTGTCTCATCCGCTTGGGGGACGGCATGGGCCTTGGAGGCGAGCTGGACACTGTCTGCAGGTAAGAGCAGGTGTGAAGATGCCTGCCTAACTGTGGGAACCCCCCGCCACCCTGGGGCCTGAACCTTTATTCTTCCCATTACAAAAGCCTCTTTGCCCCACCTAATTACCCTAACCCCAAGCCTTTAACAGGTCTTGGAATGACTTCCACGTCTGTGCCTCCCAAGTCCTGTTGCGCTGCCCAGAGGAGGCTGCTGCTGTGTGGGAGTCACTGCAGCAAGAAGCTCGCCAGGCCCCGCACCCAGATAACTTGCATGTTCTCTGCGGCACCCCTGTGCATATCAGGGAGCATGGCATAGGTCCTGAGACCAACCAGGAGACGCTGCAGGCAAGAGCATCTGCACCCACCCCAGCCCCGACGCCCCCACTGCTGGCGGCTGCTCTGGCGCTCGCCTGCCTTCTGGGGCCTCTGGCCTAGCCAGTCTGGTGGAGTAGCAGCACCCCTGCCTCCTACCCTGCTCTGGTAGCTGCTCTCGGGGCTCTACACAGTGCCCTTGGCTTTCATTAAAGGTATTTATATTTGTACTAAGCTCCTTCCTTTCTTCTGGCCATTGCCAGCCCTGCTTTGTAGGGGCGGAGCCTCCAGAAGCTGATCTCCGGGGATGGATGGGCAGGGCCCATGGCCACCACAGGGGACTCAATCTTTCTACTTAAAGATACTCATTTCCCAGGGCTGGCTGTGCAGAGTTTTCCATCGTGTGCTGGTTCTAGGAGCTATGGTGGTGACCTGAAATCTTCTGGAATGCATAGCCTTCCTCTCTTCTCTTGGGCTGGCATTTCTCCCCAAGTCTGTCCCTCCTATTCTGGCCCCCATGGGCATGTGAGGCGGTGAATTGTACCAGCCCACCCCATCCCCACGTTTGTTCCAGCCTCCATGTTCCTGCCATCTCTGCTAACTATGTCTTAGCCTTCAAGACAGATTAAGTGCTCTGTCCTCTCCCTCTCTGGTGTCCTCGTCTACCTGAGGGGAAGCTGTTCCAGGAGATGGGGAGTCCCTGTTTGGGTCTATGTTCAAGTCCCTAAGGTGACCTGGAGCTGCAGAAACTGGGGTTATGATGAGGGTTCCTCTGGCCTCTCATGTACCCAAGCTTCTCCTTTGAGAAGAGGTATGCAGTGTGATGTCAATAATCCCAGAAGACTTTCTGGAAGCATGGAACGAGTGTGTGATGTGTGAGGAAACCCTCTTCATCCTGGTGGAGAGAGGCAAGAATCCACATGGACAGAATCCTGAGGGAAGGAGGAGTCCTCAGAGAGGGTGAAAAGCTCTCTCAATCAATCCTCTACCACCACCTCTAGGACCTTACTCCAACCCACCACCCCATGACTTGTGTGGGCAGTGCCATGGCCTCACTGACTTCTGCTCTCATCCCCTCTGCTTTATTCTCCTTTTTTTTTTTTTTTTTAATTTAGAACCAATTCCCAAGTTAAAGCTCCTTTGCATTGTCTATGCAGCCCTACCTAAGCCAGCTCTGTCCACAGTTGATTCAGTCCACTCCTGCGACTCCCCTCTGTCTAAGCCTGGATCAGGGATCTACCTACTCAGTCCTTGGCATCAGGGGAGGCTTCAGGGAAGGCATGTTATAGGGAGTGATAAGGGAGGTGAGGATGTGGGACTTAACAGGTGGTGGAGGAGAGATGGGCTGAGTTGGAGAGGACTTTATAAGAGGAGCCCAAAGGAATCAGGGTAGGAACCTAGAGCTTGGGAGACTAGGTTTACACTAAAGCCCATGCTGGGGGACTGCTGCCTCCAGGACTGAATAAGCCTAATTGAACCCTTCCTTGTTTGGCTCCAGGGTGACAGGAGCCTCCAGAGACCTCCATCTTTGTGTATAGCAGCCCTACTTCATCTGTTCTTCCCAAACATCATCCGATTCCAGTTAGCTCAGATACCTCTGTCAACTCTGTCTGCCCAACATTTGCTCCTCTGCTTCATTCACTTTTATCTCCACTTTTATCTCCCAACCAGTCATTACCCATCTTCTCACATGACCTAAAGGAGAAAATTCCTCCCACATCTGCCCCACTCTGACCACCAGAATTTTCCAGAAGGAAAGGCCAGGCTATTATCCCTTTGGGTCTTTTTTTTTTTTTTTTTTTAAGGTTTTATTTATTTGTTCGGCAGAGAGAGAGAGCGGGTGCAAAAGCGGGGAACAGCAGAGGGGAGAAGGAGAAGCAGGCTCTGCTGAACAGGCAGCACGATGTGGGGCTCAATCCCAGGACTCCAGTATCAGACCTGAGCAGAAGGCATGTGCTTAACCAACTGAGCCACCCAGGCGCACCCCCCCACCACACCCTTTTGGGTTTTTGTACATTCATTCTCTGTACTCAGAATACCTTTCCCCATACCCTCCTGGTGAACTCCTTTTCTTGCTCAGTATCACTTCCTTCCTAATCCTGACTCCACACCTGAATCAGAAGCCTCCTACAGGTCCACACAGCTCCCCAGTTGTCTTCTGTCTCAGTACTAATAACACTGGCTTGCTACTATCTCGGTCCAGGTCAAAATTCTCCACTCTGGACTCCCCAGGGGTTCTCTCTATGTCTCTAGCACCCCACTTAGGGCTGGGTATAAAGAGTACACTTGTAGAAGTATGTGGAATCAAAGACAGAATCTCTAAGCCCAGCACAGAAAGTGTTATAGTCAGTAAGAGCTTGGACTGAGAATGACCTCAGCACTGAGAATGCGTCATTTGGGGCAGCCCCCTAACCTAGCTTGGGCATACTTTGGGAAGGATGATGCTGAGAATCCAGACCCGGAAAGTCTTCTCACAGCCCCTCTTGGTGGGTGGCCAGGAGCAGCCTGCTTCTAGGAGCTGGGGCCCAACTCCTTTGGCCAGCCATCCAGGGGATTACCATCCTCCTGCTGTGACCTACTTTACCCTGGTTTTTGCTCCCTAAGTCCCTGCTCTTCCCTGGAATGAGTGACCTGGAGTGTGTGCATGGGGATGGGGACGGAATCTGCTTTCTGGCCAGGGGCTTAAGAGCTTTGTGTGTTTATCCCAGAGCTGGAGGAGAGGGGTGAGCTGATGGCCAGACGGGGCCCTGGACACATCTGCACAGGCCAGAGCATAACGGTGATGGGTCTCACCGTTATGTGTGTCTCACATTTACAGCTCTATGGACATGGAATAGCTTATTGTTCAGGGGAGAGACTGGGGCTGAATGTCCTGAACCCAGTCCCTCTGCATCAACATGCCTCTTATCTCAGGACCCTGTGTTCTTTGCCAGAGTCCAGACAAGCATCTACCAGTAGCAAGGGCCCAATAAATACTTGTTGGATTAATTTGCTGAGTGTCTGTAAAATTGAGGTGTTGTGTGCGAATTTTTTTTTAAAGATTTTATTTATTTATTTGACAGACAGAGATCACAAGCAGGCACAGAGGCAGGCAGAGAGAGAGAGGAGGAAGCAGGCTGCCTGCTGAGCAGAGAGCCTGATGTGTGTGAATTTTTTAAAATGATTTTATTTATTTCTTAGAGAGAGAGCATGAGCAGGGGGAGGGGGAGAAGGAGAAGCAGACTCCCTGCTGAGCAGGGAGCCCAATGTGGGGCTCCATGCTGGGACTCCAGGATCATGAACTGAGCTGAAGGAAGACGCTCAAGCTCAACCAACTGAGCCACCCAGGCGCCCTATTGTGTGTGAATTTCTAAGCCCCACCAACCCTAGAATTCCATATTACTTTTAACCTTCACAACAACTCTGTGGGGTCAGGATTATGATCCCCATAAAACAGAAGAAAAATGAGGCTTAAGGAGGAGAGATGTCTTGCCTAACTAAGGTAACACAGCTGTGAAAGTGTCAGAGCTTGGGCTATGATCCCAGGTTTGTTTGACCCCAAAGTAATGCCCTTAATCAATAGACTTTTGAGAGATTTTTTTTTTCTTTTGGAGTTGGGGGGGAGCAATGATTTTTTTTTTTAAAGATTTTATTTGTTTATTTGACAGAGAGAGATCACAAGTAGACAGAGAGAGAGAGAGAGGGAAGCAGGCTCCCTGCTGAGCAGAGAGCCCGATGCGGGACCCAATCCCAGGACCCTGAGATCATGACCTGAGCCGAAAGCAGCGGCTTAACCCACTGAGCCACCCAGGCGCCCGGGAGCAATGATTTTTAAAGGTGTTTTGTAATTTTTAATTTTCTTAAATTCAGTTAACCAACACACAGTACCTCATTAGTTTCAGATGTAGTATTCAACAATTCATCAGTTACATATAACACCCAGTACTCATCATATCACGTGCCCTCCTTAATGCCCATCACCAGGTTACTCCATTCCCTCCTCATGCCTCCCATCTCCCAAAGGTGTTTTTTTAAATAAAACTTTTTATGAAACTCTGCTATATAAAATATCCTGATGTTTTATTGGTTAATTTATTTTTAGATTTAAAGTATAGCATTATACAGTAAATTAAAGATAATTTCATGTATAAAGTAAATAATAAATATATTTTAAAAGATTTATTTATATATTTATTTATTTGATAGAGATCACAAGTAGGCAGAAAGGCAGAGAGAGAGGGAGAAGCAGACCCCCTGCTGAGCAGAGAGCCCGATGCGGGGCTCGATCCCAGGACTCTGGGATCATGACCCGAGCTGAAGGCAGAGGCTTTAACCCACTGAGCCACCCAGGTGCCCCAATAATAAATATTTTAACAAATGAACAAACAGAAATGAAGTAGATGGAAGGAGGTTACAACGCCCTTATTACCTCCGGCATCTACTCCGCCCCCGCCCGCCCCGCAATCTGGGATTATTGTAAAGTAGTGAGATAATTCTGATCTTCTAGAGAAATCTTAATGGTAACATTTAAAAAAATCTACTTGATTTGCAGTCTCAGAATACACTTACATTTAATAACAACAACAAAAATTAAAACAAAAAACCGTTACTCCGAAGTTAGCCCAGGACTAACGTCACCTTCACTGATCCTCTAGTTAGCCATTTGCAACTCCTCTGTGATGGAGGCCAAATTTAACACGTCCGAGAGCCTCAATTATTTTAACTGCAGTTAAAAAAAACCGATTTGCTAATGAAATTTAAATCAATCCTTTGCGGAGTTCCAGAGGCACTTCCAAAAACTTCTGTTGAAACGCTCTACGTGCCCAACTTTGCACTATAGAGCGTCCTTCTGCTCTAACTAGAAATTTGACACTTTCTCCCTACCTCCGGGGTAGGGAGGTCCTACCCAGCGCCCAAGGTGCAACTGCTTTGACGGTTACTTAAACTCACCGGGAGGAGAGAGTAAGTCCCCGCCCGAAGACGTTGATTGGCAGGCCACGCTCGGAGCGGAGATTAAATTCTTAGCCAGTCTCTGCCCAGGTCCGTCCCCTCCCCGCCCCAAGGGTGGCCTGGGTTTGTTTTGGCGTAAAACGCGCGCACTGATGACGTCAGGACGCTGACGCCTGAGGATGGCGGCGGCGGCG